AGAGGAGTCTCGCTCTGTTGCCCAGGCTAGAGGGCAGTGGTGTGATCTCGGCTCACTGTAAGCTCTGCCTCCCGGGTTCACGCCATTCTCCTGCCTCAGCTGCCCGAGTAGCTGGTACTACAGGCGTGTACCACCACACCCAGCTAATTTTTGTATTTTTTAGTAGAGACGGGGATTCACCATATTGGCCAGGCTGGTCTCTAACTCCTGACCCTGTGATCCACCCGCCTCTGCCCCCCAAAGTTCTGGGATTACAGGCGTGAGCTACCGTGCTCAGCCATGCCCAGCTAATTCTTATATTTTTTTGTAGAGACGGGATTTCACCATTTTGCCCAGGCTGGTCTCAAACTCCTGAACTCAGGCAGTCTACCCATCTCAGCCTCCCAAAGTGCTGGGATTACAGGTGTGAGCCACCACACCTGGCCACAAGTGATTGTTTTCAAAGCTTTCTCTTTATGCTATTTATTTTCATTTTTATAGTGAGAAGCTATTCTTTTTATTATCTAAATATGGAAGAGTAATACAAAAAATAAAATATCTTTTTCTGGGGGGACTAGGTGGGGATGAGAGTCTCGCTGTGTCACCCAGGCTAGAGTGCGGTGGTGCCCTTGTGACTCACTGCAGCCTCAACCTCCTAGGTTCAATTGATCCTCATGTCTCAGCCTCTCAGGTAGCTGGGACCACAGGCACATGCCACCACATCCAGCTAATTTTTGTATTTTTTGTAGAGATGGGGTTTCACCATGTTGCCCAGGCTGGTCTGGAACTCCTGGGCTCAAGCCATCTGCCAATCTTGGCCTCCAAAAGTGCTGGGATTACCAGCATGAGCCACTGTGCCTGGCCAAAAGTATCCTTATTGGAGGAAATTATTTGTTTGAAGAAACCTCTAAAAAATCCTTGCTATTATTCCACATGTTTATATTATCCTAAGGAGATATTAATGTAATGGTTATAGGAGCAAAACTATTCTCAGATATTCAATATTTACTCCAAATTACAGTTGTGTCACCTCGTTTTTTATTCTTTCTAAATGTAAAACTCCTTGAATTTATTTTTAAATTGGAGCATACCTGAGATTAGTTAATCAAATAACAAGCATTTCAACACGTGCAAAAAAAAAATGAGAAAAGCATTTTGCAAGCTTGATTCTCTATGACTCCAGTGGCGAACTTAATACACCATTAACCTCAACTTCTGAAACTGTGGCTTCCTTTGTTTGGAAACTTATGACATTATGCCATTTGCTAAGTCCTCTCATGATTCAGCATCATGATATAAAAAAGAGATGAAAAAGTTTTCTTTCTGTGGCATATGAACACACTTGAGTGATTAAGGCTGCCTAAATTACATCTAAATTGCAAATATTTATACATCAGTCTTAAATTCTCAAGCGTCTCTTGTCTTTTCAGGTGTCTACTATTATCATGCCAAATGAGTTTCAGCAGGATTATGACATCAGAGACTGTGCTGCTGTCAAGGTCAGTACAGTGCTGGAAAATCTGCATATTTAAAACATAAATCCATCATCATATGCAATCAAGTAATGGATCCATGGAGTGTCTTTGTGTGTGGAGCATGATGTTAGATGTGGTGAGAGATAAGCACACCCATGGCCTGGCCCTCAGCAGCCTAACTTAACACTTCATTTGAGAGGATAAAATTCATATTCAAGAAAACCTCCCTCATTACCATGCAGTAATAAGCTCCTAATGAGTGGGCTGAGGAAGGCTAATGAAATTCAGAGGAGGAAGTGAGTCCCATGGCCATTTCCAGAAAGAGGTAGGACTTGAACTGGGACTTTAAGGATGGATAGAGTTTCTACAGATGGGATAGAGTAAGGCTTTCTCATGAGGGGATGGCATGAGAAAGTGGCATAAAATAAGGTGGGAGTGGAAGGAAGAGGGCAGTGAGGAGAACAGCATACAGATCAAGAAGTTTTCATTGGTGCTGTCCTTGATAACAGTATTAGGAAATCAGATTGATGCCACGTTAAGGAATTTCTATACTTCTAGATAGGCAACAGGGCGTTTTTTAAAGTTTCTGAGTAGGGAGAGTCACATGAACTAAGGAGGGTATGAGGAAGATTCATCTTGAGACAGATGACAACATGCAACAGGTAAGATTGGAAGGCATAAAAGACCGGTTAGGCATCTTCCTTTGCAGAATGCATTCATGTATCCATTTCATAAACAGTCCAAGAGGTCAGTGAGGCACTGGGGGATAGAACAGTGACAAGGTACAAGGCATAGCCATTGTCTTCACAAAACTAAAGTCTAGTAGAAAATAAAGACAAGTAAACAAGCAATTACGACACCATTGAGTAAGGACTATGCCAGGCGAAATACAAGTTTTATGCAAGAACAAGAATATTATGAGACAATAATAATGATGGTGATGGTGATGGTCTATGGTGGTTGTGGTGATGATGATGGCAGCAGTTAACACTGATCTGATTAATTCCTTTATCAGCCAGCCACTGTACTAAGCATGTCACATTTGTCACACAGCACATAAGCAATCTTGTGAGGTAGGCACTGTTACTATATTCATCTCACATGGAAATTCGAGCTGTGAGTAATTTACTTCAGCTTACATGGAGTAAATTTAAACTGAAAGAACTGAGATTTACACCCAAGTGTGTCTGGGTGTGGTACTCTTAACCACTATGCTATATGACTAGGCATTTATAGAAATAGAAAGGGTACTGATTTATGGAGAAAATTGTATGTTTTAGTTTAGATATTTTGAATCCAAGCTAGCTATAAGATGTATGCTATGGTAAGTTGAGATCAAGAGTCCTAAGTTGAAAGGAAAATGTATATTTAAAAAAAAAAAAAAGGGCCAAGAAGTGAATTTGGAGGAACTGCCAACATATAGAGTGAAAAAAGATGAAGATGGAGGAGACATCAGGTAATATCTTTGATTTGTAGTCCAAGAAAGAGATTGTACAAGGTGGCTGACCAGAAATGTTACAGGAAGGCTGAGGCAAATAAGAACTCAAAGCCACAGGAAAACACGATTTTCAAAGTAACTCTTCTAGTAATAAACTGTGTAATACATGGCATTTTTATAGATTCCCAATTTAACATAAGAAAAGGTGAGAACTTCAGAGAAGCTTATGGAATTTTTAGGAGTGTTGAGAACACTGGTACAATAAACTGTTCTAGGGAAATAGCGTTGCCAAGTATGGAGAGATTTGAAAATCTACCAAATAAATAAAGAGATATTAATGCAACCTGCATCAGGAACAAGCCCAACCAGGGCAGTGTTCTGTAAGGAAAATCTTACCTCACCTGCCACAGAACCCCCACAAACTTGGTCTTGAGAGAAAATAGTCCAAGAAGTGATGGATGCTCTCCCGAGTAATGCCTTCCCCTATCCTTTTTCTCCTACTTGCTAACTGGATTTGTAGTGAGCCATCCTGGAGAAGGGCAAAATCCTAGAAATGGCATGGTAACACCAGAGAAGGAGCCTGAGCCGCTGAGGCTGGACTTTTATGTCACTCTCTGATCTAATTTGATCACAGCTTGGTGCTTGGATACCTCTGAAATAAATATCCTAACAAAAATTGTCAGGCGTGGGGGAGAAAATTTGCATTTTGGACATAAACATGACCTTACAACATATTTCCCTTATTAGCCCCTTTGAAGGCTCTTGCTCAGGGTATTACTGTTTAAATATTCCATTCATTCATGTGTTCATTTATTGAACAAATATCTTAGGTGCTAGAGCTAAAATACAGATCAAGATCATAGGGCTTACAGTTTAGTGTTCCATAAGGGATGTATCAACTTCAAAATATTCTGCAATACTTTTCCTCTTTTAGGTATTTCATAGGCCATGGCGAAGAGGCTGGCATTTCTATGATAGAGAATTTATTTATTTGAGGCCTTTTGCTTGTGATACAAAACTTGAATGGGTGTGCCAAATTCCAAAAGGTAAGTGGTAATTGTTACTTTTCACAACCTTCTCATGTTAACATTGTGAATGCTCAGTTCAAAGTACCTAGGGGAGCATTGTGATCTATAATTCTAAGGTCTAAAAGCCTATGATGATGCAATTGATATGTGGAGCACCCCCTGCCTGACTCTGGCTTCCAATAGAAGGCTAGCTTATTGAAATTTGGTGACATCTTACTCTTGATCATGCAAAAATTTGCATAGAAGATAAAATGTAAGGTTCATTTAGGGAGATTAGATTTTGGATGAAATTATTTTAAGCAAAAGGAGAAATGTAGAATCATTTTAATTTTTATTTTGATGCAAAATGAAAAAATAAAGATAATCTTGGGAATAATAAGGCAGAAGTCAAGAAATAAAAATGTGGCAGGTCCCTGTAAAATTTAGAAGCAATTTTCAATGAACTACAAAACTGCTAATACTTTATATAAATTCAAATTTGAGAAGCCAGTTAGATTGATAGTATAGCCTTTGGTAACAGAAAGGAGAGTGGGGAGAAATGTAGATACCATTTTACTTCACTTTTTCCAGGAAAATATGAAATATTAAGAAAAATGTCAAGAAGATTTTAATTCTCAAATTATTATTATTATTATTTTTTTTTTTTTTTTTAAGACAGAGTCTCACTCTGTCTCCCTGGCTGGAGTGCAGTGGCGCTATCTTGGCTTACTGCAGCCTCTGCCTCCCAGGTTCAAGTGATTCTCCTGCCTCAGCCTCCAGTATAGCTGGGACTACAGTCACCCATGACCACACCTAGCCAATTTTTGTATCTTTAGTAGAGTCAGGGTTTCATCATGTTGGCCGGGCTGGTCTCGAACTCCTGACCTCAAGTGATTGGCCCACCTCAGCCTCCCAAAGCGCTAGGTAGGATTACAGGCATGAGCCACCTCACCCAGCCTCAAATTATTTTTAAGCAGACATTGACTGTATTAAATTAATTAGCAGAAAACCCATAGAAGGTTTCAAAATAAATCTCTGAACTGAATGTAAACAGATCGTTGAAACTAAAGGTGTATCCTCCTACAAGTTCTCAAAGAACCCGAAGTTCACATCATGGAAGTGACTATTAGAAGACTGTTTTCCCTAAAATAGTTAAAAGAGCTTCAGATGTGACATCAGGTAGTAGCGAATCTCTTTCACAAAGGCAAACTGTCAAACCATTTGTAAAAGAGAGAGAGAGAGAGAGTTGTGTTGATGGGTTTTTCTAAAGGATAAATTATGCCTGAGTTATTCTTGATTATTTTATTAAACCCGAAAAAGGGACAAAGGAAAACCAGTTTGGATATCCTTTAAACAAGTGGAAAAGTAACTTGTACATAATTAATTCGGACAATGTCTCTGTTTTGAAGTGTTAATGTGAGCCTCCCATTACTCTCTGGCATTTGTTAGCATTCCACAGACAGTGTCATTGTTCCAATCAAGGTGCCCTCGATGGGAGCTGCTACCCCCACCTCCTGTTTGAGCAGCAGAGCAGACCCCAGAGTTTAAACAAGGGCAACCTTAGAAATGGCAAATTAGTCACCACAGAAAATAGTATGAAGGGCATGTGGAGGAGTATATATATTTTTAAACATATACTTTTAACAAGAGAGAAAGGAATTAACCCACTTAGCAAATATAAATCAATTAATCAAACAAACCTAAAGAATTCCACCTCTATGATCCCCATGCAGAAAGAAAATAAAATACTAAGCTCCTGTTCTCAGTCTGTCTCAATCACTTGAAGCAATCAATGATTGCTTGCTCCAGGGTTTAAATGCTATGTTCAACCTTTTTTGACTATACTGTATAACTTTCTAAGTTATGATGTGATGCATTCAGCTGGTTGGATATTTTCTTGGTTATTAGAGCAGCCTAAGTTTTCTCAACTTGTATTCATCTGTATTTTCTGGTTTTCTTAAAGAAGTTTTCCTCTTATGTATCCTAAATCACCATGCCTCTTCTCTGGCTCTTCCTTTTTATTACTTGGTTCTAATGAATCCTGTCTTCCCTAAAAGAGGTATTTTGACAACCTGTAAATTTGAAGTAACCTCAACCACAGTGGATATTTGTACTTTTTAAATATTCTTTTTTTAATTGAGAAAACTGTGTCAAAAATAAGGCTCATAAAAGTGTTTTTAGGAATATTACCTATGATGCCATTACCCAAACATAGCTATTTTTATTGTATTTCTTGATGCCTTATACACACATACATGTTGTAATCTTGTATAAAAAATATCTTGCATCTTACCTTTCTCACAATTTAAAGATATTTAAAGGTTAGACATAGCTTTCCCTCCCCCACACACAAATAATCAGAAGCCTTTGACAAGATTACAGACAAGAAACTATGTACATTTTGAACTGACTTGCAACGTTATTGTTGAAAATTATCCAATACGAATCGAATTGGCTCAGAGAGACTAAAGATGCTGGCTATGCAGGCAGTCCTCTGAGTCGGGTCTTCTGATGCCTGTCTGAGGCTCACATGCCACACCAAAATTAAGACTAGCTATTTTACTCTGTAATTTCTAAAATTAAGCAAATGATGTCTTTGACTTGAAGCCAATGTGATCTGTGGCCAGAATGAAAAGGGGGAGGAAAGCAAATAGGCTCCCATGGGGAACTGCTCTGTGCCTGGCCCTGTGCTGGCCGCTTCCTCCAGGGCGTCACATGTGACCTCACTCTCTGTGAGTCAGGTAGCCATCTCGTTTTCATAGAGGAGAAAATCAAGGCTCAGAGGGAGTTAAGCAATTCATCGGAAATACCATAGCAGCAAAATGCATAAGGGCATTTGCACACTGACCTGCCCAGCTTCCAACCCGGAATTCTGTGTAGCATGCCATATTTCCTCCATTTCCATCTGAGAATCCTCAGTGACTTTTATTATTTTCCTCTCAGTTATGTCTCATCTTCTCAAAAGATTCAACATTGGAGCATTGTACGTTGTTTCCAAGGATATCTTGGAAGACAATGGACTCTATGAACCTAAGTTTATAGAATAGTTATTTGTTTCATTAGATGGAGAAGTGGTTCCTGAATAACTTCACTTTACAATGATGATTATTTTGGTTCCTATTATGCTTCTGTGTGACACATACAATATCATTATTTACTTGTTTTTACTTTCTAATTCTTAGCTATGTTTTATCCATCTGCACTTCTTTTGTGACCTCTGTGACACAAGGTAAAAGACTGCTAGAAATACTTCATTAATATTTAACAGATATGCCTTTTGGATTGCTCCTAAAGCAGCTTTAGCATCGGCCCCACAAAATACAACTAAAGTGATCAAAACATGAAATGGCTTGGCTAGAAATGGACAAGCCTCAACAATACTGCAAGTCCTTTTGAGCTACATTAAAGGCCTTACTTATAGTATACCCTGATCAGTCATTGAGTACTAATGCCACTTGCTTTCTTCCTCATACAGGCCGTACTCCAAAAACACCAGACTGGTACAATCCAGGTGAGTTAAGAAAACTGAAATTTAACAAAAGCTGCTTTTCCCTTGTCACTAATGCATTTAGTTAATTATTTAAGTGCCAGCTTCTTCTCTGTACATCTTCAAGTGAGACAAAATTTCTCCAGGCAAGGAAGGTGAGTGACTGGTATGGGATGAGGTGATGAGGATGGTTTCTTCTTTCCCTGTGAGTGCAGGGGAATGGCAGAGTCACTGGCTCAGGAATCTCTTGTTCCCTGTAGTCAGTACTGCCCCAGCCAGAGAGGGCTAGTAATCTGAATTACTATTTATAGTTCTGAACATTAACTCATGCTTAGAGGACACAGTTTGCTTTGCATAGTCATAACTCTAATCTCTTTCTTCTTCTTCTTCTTTAGAGCGTGCTGGAATTCATGGACCTCCACTTATAATTGAAGGAAGTGAATATTGGTTTGTTGCTGATCTTCACCTAAACTATGAAGAAGCCGTCCTGTACTGTGCCAGCAATCACAGCTTTCTTGCTACTATAACATCTTTTGCGGGACTAAAAGCCATCAAAAACAAAATAGCAAATGTAATTTAAAAGAATCTATTTTAAATATCTTTCTTATTTTTATATTTATTCCATTTAAAAATATTACAAAAATTTTGCCAAAATCTACAAAAGTTAAATTTTTCTTTAATGTCAGATCTGCCTCACAACATCCAAATTTATTTCATGTTAGAAAAATTAAGTAGAATTGCTTATGTTTATAATATACAAGATTAATAGTAAATGTCACTTTATAAGGTAAACATCAGTAGATAATAAAAATGATTCTAATGCCCTGTCACATTTTTTACTAAAAGTCAACCTTACAGTTAACTTGAGTTTCTGTTTCTACTAATAAGTAACTTTGCAAAATAGCCTTTGGGAAGAAAAATAATTTCTGTATTTTTAAATTTACAATTAATTGCAATAGGATACTGTATGCCCACTTAAAGTATTAGTCTAACTAATATATGCCCATAATTACAGCTACCATGTTTCCTGTACCCACAATAGGATCTGTAAATATACAGAGAATTTTCAACTACTCTTTGGCACAAGGTCCTGGTTTGTATAATTTTGAAATCTAAGTAAGGAATGTCTAGAAATTATAGTGGTTAGTGATTACAGTAAGACAAGGTATTTGAATCAAAACCCTCAAGAAAGCTCAGCACATATAAGCATGGATGTTTGGCTTGTTTTTCAGATATCTGGTGATGAACAGAAGTGGTGGATAAGAATTAACGAGCAGCCAATAGATGATCATTTTACCTAGTAGGTGACATCATTGATTCTACCTTTGTAAAGTTATCACTTAAAAGAAGCAGTTCCTTTTACTAAATGGATTTCTATTTATAAGTAGTTTGAACATTAATCCATAAACTGCCTAAATTAGAGAAACCAAGGCCTTTTGCATGTTAGCATCAAGAAAAAAGGGGTAGAGAATGATGGTATTAACATTAAATTTAGAAATAAAATAACTTACAGTAAAAAGAAAAAAAATTGAAACACCTAATTACATTACGAGTTGTCAAATCTGTCATTTTCTTTTAGCTCACGATATCCATGGCACCGCTTTCCTGTGACATTTGGAGAGGAATGCTTGTACATGTCTGCCAAGACTTGGCTTATCGGTAAAGTTAATTCAAATCCTTTAATGCTGATTTTGTAATATGTGAACTTCAGGTTCAGTTTCTAGCTTAATCTTGTTTTCCTTTTGATTATATGTTTGGCCCCTTCATCTTATTCTGATTTATTATTAACAACTATAGCTCAAATCCCCAATGCAAATAAAGGTACTTTTCACTGTGAATATTTTAACTTCCTTTATCCTAAAGCAGTTACTTAGAAATAAACTTACCACTTTCCTAATTGATAAGTGTCTAAGCAAATTTTCAAAGATAAGCAGGCAGCAGTTCTAAAATATAGTTTAGGTCCCCTTCCCCTGATTACACTGCCCCTTCAACTTCTTACCTTCTGCCTTCACCCTGGGATGGTATGGTAGTCACACAAAATGCGTGCTGTTTCATAGACAGTATTGGTATGCTGTAACCTACAGATAAAAATAATCATAGAAGACAGAAGTGGCTAGAGAAGAAAGGGAATATATCTTAAGCATTTGGGAAAGATTGATTTCAAGAACCTTTCTTTACTACTGGGGTTGCTTTTAAAATATGCTGACTTAGCCAGGCGTGGTGGCTCACGCCTGTAATCCCAGCACCTTGGGAGGCTGAGGCAGGCAAAACACTTGAGGCAAGGAGTTCGAGACCAGCCTGGCCAGCATGGTGAATCCACGTCTCTACTAAAAATACAAAAACTAGCCAGGTGTGGTGGCATGCACCTGTAATCCCAGCTACTTGGGAGGCTGAAGTACGAGAATCACTTGAACCTGGGAGGCGGACGATGCAGTGAGCCAAGGTTGCATCACTGCCCTGCAGCCTAGGCAACAGAGCAAGACTCTGTCTCAAAAAAAAAAGTACTGACTGAAAAATTCTCACTATAGTAATGCTTGCTTTTCATTTCTCAGACTTAAGTAAACCAACAGACTGTAATACCAAGTTGCCCTTCATCTGTGAAAAATATAATGTTTCTTCATTGGAGAAATACAGCCCAGATTCTGCAGCTAAAGTGCAATGTTCTGAGCAATGGATTCCTTTTCAGAATAAGGTAAAAAGAGAATTGCTACATTATGCAACAATGATTGCTTCCATGCTGGTTATATAGCCTATGGCAGAATGGCAACCTATTAGTGACAACATCACTGAGATAAACTCTACATGTTTCAGGATCCCACCTGGCCCTCTGTGTTGCCAGAAACCGTGGATGATATCAAGAATTAATTCTCAAGTTGGTCATGCCTACAGGTCTTTTAAAGTGCAGCATTTCTATTTTGTTGCTACCAACACTTAAATTGCTCAAGTTGATCTGTTGATGGATTGGGAGGCATTGAATAGTCAGGACTATCTCTATGGCCTTGTAGGAAACTGACTTAATTTCTGGCTTGTGTTTTCTTTTTCCCCTCAAGGAGAACATCCAAGCAGCATCTGCCAATCAAATTAGACTGGCATTTCACAAACTACTTTTTGGGGACTACACATATGCTACAAAATGTTAATCATTGATCTTGCCTCCAAATGGGGGTTTCATGATTAAATAGGTTAGAGAAATGCTGCATTCTGTATCTGCCTCTTCGAGATGCATAATCCATTTTGGTATACGTATCTATTAGGAAATGCATTTGGCTGCTGAAAAGAGGTTGCTACAGTATGTTAAAACATTTATTCTGTCACATTAAAGACATTTGAAGATAAGCAGGTTTGTGTGGAAACACCATGAAGTCTTCAAAATCAGGCTTCTTGTGATTTTGCTCTGCCATCCTTAATATAAGGCTTCTGAGCTTAAATTCAGGGTGTTCTCTCTAGAGTCTTTTCTAGAAGTTACCCGATGAGGTTGTCCATGTTGGGTAGCTTGGCTCATTGACCACTCCAGTCTATAAGAAAGCTGGAAAAAAATTTTTTTGTAGGATGTTTCAAGGAACACAGTTTGGGACATACCACTCTATACCGAGGTGATCATAATGTGAAAAAGGGAAAAAAGATGTGTCTGACAGCTGGAAGGATCTGTAGTAAAGTTAGGGGTACGTTTTAACTTTTTAAAATTAGGACAATCTTTTTAATTCCTCGAGGTAATAGTACTGTGTTAATTTGCATAGCTGATATAAATTTGAATTAATATATCCTGCCAAAGATGAATTTTTCAGCAGTGTTTCTTGATATAAGGAGATGATGATTAAGGACACAGATTTTGAAATCAGGTGGAACAGAGTATAAATACTGACCTTACTATTGTGTGTCTATTTCACTTATGGATCAAGTTATTTAATGTCCCTGTGCCTCAGTTTCTCTCTCCGTTGTGAGAATTAAATGAAATAATACTACGCAAACTGCCTAACACATAGGAAGCACTTAATAAATGAGAGATCTTTAAATATATATATTTAAAGATATTATATATAAAAGATATTATACGTTCTATATGTGTCTTATATATAAGATATGATATATATTTATATATATATGAAAGTTTGAAGACCACTCTTTGGTTGTTTCAGTTGAGAAGGTAGCTTGAGCCTAGGAAGCTCAAGGTTACAGTAAGCTATGATTGCACCACTGCACTCTGGCCTGTGTAACAGAGAGCGACTCTGTCTCTTAAAAAAATAAAAAATTAATGAGAGCATAAACTTGAATTCTTATGGTACTACATTGCAGATTACCATATCTCACAGACCGAAAATTAGCAGCCCTCTAAAAGATGAAGCATTTTACTTCCTGTGTGAGCTTTCCTGTGTCTGGAATCTCATGTTTCACATATGTCTTTGTTTGCAGTGTTTTCTAAAGATCAAACCCATGTCTCTCACATTTTCTCAAGCAAGCGATACCTGTCACTCCTATGGTGGCACCCTTCCTTCAGTGCTGAGCCAGATTGAACAAGGTACTGGAATTATTTGAGAAACATGTTTCAGTCTGATCTGGGGCCAGGTTAGTTTTAGGAGGCTATGAGGAATTAACATACAAAAAATCTTATTAAACTTCTTTTTTTATGGAACAGATAAAAGACTATCTTGATAGTTAGATAAACAAAAGATATTCATTGGCATTTTTAGTATATCTTTAATTTGAATAAATCAAATGCTTTTTAAAAACCTCTTTCTAACAGACTTTATTACATCCTTGCTTCCGGATATGGAAGCTACTTTATGGATTGGTTTGCGCTGGACTGCCTATGAAAGGATAAACAAATGGACAGATAACAGAGAGCTGACATACAGTAACTTTCACCCATTATTGGTTAGTAGGAGACTGAGAATACCAGAAAATGTAAGTTTTTTTTAATCAGTACTCTTTACACCTCTGTGAAATACTTGAGTCTTTCATACATTTAAATGATCGATCAAGGTAATTACCATATTCCTCACTTTAAAGATTTATCATTTCTTTGTAAAGATAACATTCAAAACTTTCTCCTCTATCTGTCTTGAAATATACACTACATTGTTCTTTGCAGAGATCATACTCTAATGATAAAGGAATTTGGTGCAACAGTGAAGGGCCCAAGCTCTGGAGTCAGATTGCCTGGGTTTGAATTCCAGTTCAGCCATTTACTATGCCTTTGGAAGTTTACTTAACTTTTCTTAAGCCTCAATTTCTTATCTGCAAACTTTAATACTGTTGTACTACCTCATAAGGTCAACATAAGGATTATATAAGATAATTTATTTAAAGTTTTAACAATAGTACCTGATAGTAAAAAAAAAAAAAAAAAAAAAAATAGCCATTATTAATTTTCCATTTCTTTCAAAGTCATTGGTACATTTTGGTGTTTCCACTTTTCCTTATGACAATTTTGCTAATTGGCATTTTTCAAGAAAGTTGTCTATTTAATTTAGATTTTCAAATGTATTGAAGTAAAGTTGCTTATGGTATTTTAAAAATCTCCATTATCTTTGCTTGCATTTTTACTTTGCATTATTTACATTTTTACAGAACAGATGCATGTTATTTGTTTTGTTCACTCTCTTTTCCACCCTCTACTCCTATTGCTTGACCTGTGTTATGAATACTATTTCTACCTCTTTCTACCCCATTTTTCTTGGGGTTCTGTTTTTGTTCATTTTCCAATCTTTTATATGAAATTCAGTTCATGTTCCCTTTAAAAAAAGAGAATACATTTAATAATACACATTTGGCTCCACATAAAGTTCTACCCATACCTCTTTTTTTGACATTTCTTGTTTTATTCTTTCCTATAATTATTTTCGTTCATTTTTGGTTTCCTATTTATTGAGTAGCATTTTTTTGGTCAGTATCTCCTGATATAAACTTACTTTTCTTATTTTTCTAAGTGCAATATGTTTGAAACACACAGAAAAGTATAGGGATAATACACTTAGAATAAATTTTCATATCTAATATTATTGATTGCGATCAGAAAATGAAATCTAGATACTTTTGTTTTAATATATGGAGATTTTTATAGTGACTAGTATAGGATCAAAGCTTTAAGGTATATTCTGTTATGTGGTACGCAGCTTATTGTTACAAAAAGTTTGTAAAAATCTAATAAGTTGAATCATTATGTTTTGCTTACCTACACTGTAGTCGAGTGTTAAATGTGACTGGAGGTGTTTTGTCTTATTTCTAACAGTTAATCTGTTTTAAAAATATGTTTATCAAGATTGCCACTATTTTGTTTTTTATAAAGTTAATTGCCCTTTATCCATGCTTTGAAAGTTTATTAAGATTTTCTAAGAAATGTCATGGTCAGGTCCTTCATGGAATTCTTTTATAGGGGGACAAATTCAATCTAGAATCTAAACTTTTCTTGCTAGGATCTCCAGACCATTGTTACATGATTGCATCTATGTATTTACCTTTTCATTTAGTTATTTGAGGAAGAGTCTCACTACCACTGTGCCCTAATTCTCAACCTCCAAAAATCACCGTTTATTGGGACGTGGAATTTTACATCCTGCGGTGAACGCCACTTTGTGTCTCTCTGTCAGAAATATTCAGGTAACAATCATTATCTAGATAACTATGGTACTTTATGCTATTAGATATATACAGTCACTTACTATAGGGAGGAAGGGGAACATGGGTTGAAAAATTACCTATTGGGTACTGTGCTTACCACCTGGGTCTAATACACCATGTAACAATCCTATGCATGTACCCCCTGTATCTAAAATAAAAGCTGAAAAAAAATTTTAATACTATAAGTGAATTTATATTAATTTATAATCATATGGCTTAAAATTTCAGCATGGCTAAATCCATATTGGCTTAGCAAGTCAGAGTTTATCAAATGGGATGTGATTTTTTTAAAGGATCTTTGCTATAATTTAATTAATTAATTGTATCTGATGGAATTTGTTAATAGGAGTTATCCCATGATAGTAATTGAATTTTGTTCTTTTTTCTACTCTGGCATTTTTCAGATTTTACATTTTATTATGGGAAAAGGAGAAGAAAAAACTTCATATTTTTAATTGAGTGCAGTATTGAGCTTTAAGTCCACTAATAGGATTCACTGTTAAATTTAGCATTAAAAAATAAACAAGTGGGGATTTGAAACATTATAAAAAGATCACTGTGCCTTTCCATAATCCAAATAAAAGTAGAATGCATACTTAAAAGTATAAATCATCCATATTTTGAAAAATATATTTTTTAAAAAGTATTACATTATTTTTCATTGATCACAATGTGTTTTTAAGAAATGATCAAGAAAAAATTTTGTCATGTAATGAGAACTGTAAGTAGATATTTCATGTGCTTTGGCGGAATTTTTTTTGCTAAATTAATCTTTACCCATTTTTTCCATGTTTTTAACTAACTCCTTTATTAGCAAAGTACTACTATAAAGCAGTAATTCAAATACCTCCTCTCTGGATGGTTTCTTACATTTCTCCATGCTAGCTCTCCCAGGTGAAAACTTTGTAAGGAGATATCTTAATACATTTACTTCCTTGTTGAAGTAGTTCAAACAAAAGAGATATTTAGCACCAACACGACATGATCATGCAGGTTACATTTATTTGCAGATTTTCTCTTTTGTAAATCAGACAAACGAAACAGAATTTTGTTCTGAATGGCGTAAACCCGGGAGGCGGAGCTTGCAG